GGAGGGTACTGGGGTGTCCCTGTTTATCAGTTGAAGACACTGAGGAAGAGCACTTAAGTGGTAACTTGTCAGGGTCATATCACTAGGAAATGGCAGAGATGGGATTACCCCCCAGGACCTAGCCCGGCTCCTGGCTCTGTGCTAGTCGCACCACCTGCCCCAACAGTGAACCCCACCTGCTGGCTGAAGTTCGCAAGTTGTGGGTATCCATTATGCTGTATTGTAGGGGTTGATGTTGGCTTTCCATGTGCACTATACAAGCCATAGAGCCCATCCCACACAGATGAACTCCTGCCCTGGCTGGTTCACACTGGAAGGAGAGGAACCTCCCCAGCAAACTGTGTAGAGTCAACCCAGATACAGCAGAACAACAACTTCTGTTAAAGGCTCGTTTTCTCTATTTTAAAACCAAATAGGCTGTCTTCCCAGCAATGGAATTAGCCTAAAACCATATTCCATTTGCCACAGAAATATCAGTCACTTCATCACCAAGTATTTATTGCAACTATTTATTGTGTTACTGCTTTCTGGAGAGCATGGATCAAGACCTCACCGGCCCACTGACCACGTTAGAAATCTTGAATGAGTAAGAGAGGAGGGTACACAGTAGCTCTCACCTAGCAGTTGGCACCACAATCTTCTGAGTACCATTTGTAATGATGTGGATGCCGTATGCACCATTCCCTATCCCTGATTCTAGGTCCAGTTCAGGAGCTTGGGCGAAGGGTCTCTAAAAAGCTCCGTGGTTACTCTGATGCTCACGTTTGTTGAAAATCATGGGTATACAGGTTCCTCCCCTATCCAAAAGCAGAGCATTCCTATGGAACTTTTCATGAGCCAAGATGGCGTAAAGCGAATACGCAATTGTCACTAATTTATATGGAAAACTTTTTGAGTATTCCCAGACCTCACAAAATAACCTGCCAAATATGCTTAATTATATCCTATTTTACACAAAGTATAACAACACCCTTATGAGCTCTTAGGCTTTTCTGATACCTTAGGTCACTTTTGCTAACAGGTGCACAAAGCAATTTGGGATAAAGCACAGGTGCTCAGACACAGTTCAAGCTCTGGNCACCAAAATTCTTTCTTCAACACAGAAAATCAGATGTAGTCAAATGTACTTTTCTTATTCTTTATAATTGAAAGAGCATCATATCTGTGGAAATGTACAGAAGATATTGTACATGACGTATGCTTTATCCAGTTCTGATACTAGATCCAATGAGAATGAGGAACAAGCATCTAATTAGGAATCAGCAGCTAACGGTGGAAAAAGGATTAAGTAGCATAACTGCTTCTACAATACTTGTTTTATACAATGTTTTAAAAATAGAATTTTGCTTTACACCAAAGCAATTCACAATCATTAAAAAAAATGCAGATTAACAAAAAATAAAAACACTCGATCTCACCCTTGGACTTCCACTGTTAATATCGTGGGGTTATAGTATTTTTTTACTTTTTAAAGTAAGAGGGAATTAGGTGCAGAGACTTCAGCATAATAGGAATATGCAGGAGTTACATGGACTCTTCGAAAGCTTCTCTTGCCCTTGTGTTTGGACTCCTCCAATCCCCTCTCTTGAGTCAATCACCCTCCCGTGCTTCTGCCTCCATCAGCAGGCAGCTCGTGCCTTTTCCGGTATTGTCATTTATGCCCAACTTTGCTTTTATCCCCTTTACAGACTCACCTAGGAAAGAGGTGTACTTTATGGCAATTATTGACATTCTGACTCACTATGATGCAAAAAAGAAAGCTGCCCACGCTGCAAAAACTGTTAAACATGGCGTAAGTATCTCCGTTTTGCTTCCTTCTCTGCTCCTGAGGCCTTGATGTTGTCTGTAGTGCAGGGACCAGCTCCAGACTGCTCCTTTCCACTGTGCTGCTCCAAGTCCTTCAGTGGGTCTCATTGCCTGCAGAAGGTCTGAGTGCAAGATTCAGACCTAGCAAAAGTCCCTGCCTATGCTGCTCCCATGACTGCCTAGGCTTTTGGCAAGTCACTTAAACTCAGTGGTGTCTCTTTTTTTTACACACGGGATATTATTCATAGACACATGCATCACTAGAATGTTATACAAATACTTTTGGTTGGAAAAATGTTTCAAAGATAAAAGTGCTAAAGATAGTTAAGTGTTTTAATATGAAATGTTCAGAACTGAAGCACTGTTATCTGCTTCAGACACTTACAAAATATGCAGTATTATATTTCTTTTCTCACAGTGATTGTATTTTTCTATGACAGAAATCTTTCAAGTGCAAGGTCAAA